CACTATGTGATTCCGAGAATCACTGGTGTTTTCAAAGTGACTGTCGTGACCGGATCTTGGCGGTCACGAATGGAATCTCTTAGTCTGTAATGATCATGCGTGATTGGTGAAAAATGTGGGGTACACGTGACGTAACCGCTAGGATCGTAACATATGTGACTTTTCCACCCAAAATTTAGTGTGATCCGTCTGTCCCACCCTTTTGTGACTGTCCCGGACTTTTGTGCCCAACTAAGCTTGCTTAGTGGCCCCCTCCGGCTCGAGCCAACGGGTACTAGTTTAGAATAAATAGTAATTGCAAACTCAAACTCTCGTGTTCGCTCTCTGGTGTTGCCGGTTCCACAAATATTGGGGCTTTTGCTCGTATTATCTCTTACGCCGACCCCTCTCTTCAGTAGCTTATCCCTTCATTCAAAGGGGATGCTAGGCCTAATGCTTATACAGGTATTACCTGTTCGTATCGGTACGAGTAAAATCACCTTGTGGCGAGAAGAGACCAGAATTAAATCGTATTGCTATCCCGAAAGCGTCAACTGAGCTAAGGTGCCAAAGGCCCGAGACTTCCGCCTGTCAGCGTAACTTCCTAATCCAGAGACTTACAACTAAGGCTTACCCCAAGCTTTAGAGTCTAGTACTTACAGTGAGAAAAAGGCAAGGTAATAATGGCTAGAAGCAAATAAAAGTGTATTAAGATTACATTAAAGAGCTTACTATGGTAGTGCTAAAGTATGCGTATCTCATAAGCGACAGAACAACGTTTCAGTATTGCGGCTATTATACAGATCGAATTCTCTCGGAGTTGCATCACTATCACTCGGTCTGCCATGACTCCATTCATCATCTGCAACCCTCTTCTACTACAACTTCCTGTGTAACAACAGTCATCGCTTTAATCCCCCCATAAATTGGTAAACTTGGCTCTGGAGGGCTCTGCGTCTCATCGCTCTGGCTCTGCCCTTGTTCAGCTTTAATACTGACGCTAACACCCGGATAGCCTCGAGAATAACATCGATGACTGATTGATGAAAGTGGGACTTCATCCTTACGCAAGGTGGTTGTATCATCCATTGAGTCCTTGCTCAGATCTTCTGTTCTAAGTCGCGGCGTACTCAGATTTTGACTGCTGTGTGTTGGAGTATATCCATAGACATATGGACGGTCGCCTCGACCGAAAGAAGACGCGAAGACCTTGGGCATGAGCTTGGAGAATAATGGTCGAAGGTTCGGTAGACATGATGTGATAATAGCCAAGGTGACTTCCAGAAACGACCATATCGCGGCATCAACGTTATCCCAATTAGGGTCCTTTGTTAAAGCTGCTGTTTTCAAGGTGTAGATACAATAAATCGAGATAGCGCAGGTCCTATACAGGTTATTAAGAGCACCAAAGAATAGTAACAGTGGCTTACAAGAACCCAATGCTGAAGATTGCCAAGAGCATAATCTTTTGTCTCCTCGGAAGGTTCAGACTTCCAATAACAGGCAACGGCATACAGAATACAGTAATGTCAGTGACTAGATTAAATCCAGCCATGACATACCATACTGTCAGAGGATCGGTGCAATGGCCAGGCATTGTTGAGTTCCAGAACTTCGCGACCGGTACACATATGAGAGCATTGAGAAAGGCAATTGTAATAGTCCAGGCGACCATAATAACTAGCCCGTAGAATGTCAAAGCCTGTAAGATCGGTATGGCAAAGATTCTTCGATATTGCAGTAGGATTCCGATCTTGACGAGGCACATCGCGACGTTGTATATGATGACGGATGCATAAAATGCCTGGCATGGAGTAAGCACGAGTTCCAAAGCGTGGAAGCAAAATGAAACTGACCTTTATGTAAGCGACGTAATTTTCCCTGGACTGCTCCCAAGTGTGATGACCAAGTCCATAATTGTTCTCTGCACCCAGGTTAGCGATCTAGAACTTTGAGAAGGCAATGGCGAATTGAAGCCTACCTAAACCGATAGCCACTGCAGACCCAATGGCAAGGAGCTGGGCAGCGGCCATGACCCTATCATCCCAGCCGAGAGAGCGAAGCACCTTGTATCTCACGTAAATCCGTGACGCGACAGTGATTGTGGATAAGATGGAAAAAGTGAGGAGAATGACACGAATCTCAACCGAGCGGGATGAGCTGTCCACTGGCATCGAACGAGAATCCATTGTTAGATGACTCTCGTCAGCCCAACGAAGGTACATTCTACTTGGACGACAAATAAAATTTCTGCAAATTCAGCATATGTTTGAAGTCGTCACAAAAATACTTTTCTTTCGTGCGGGGGAGTTCAAGGTCTAATATTCAGAGGGGCTTATTTCAGCTGCCACAAGTTGGGTCTCACGACTGTAAGAGATCGACAATTATGCGAGCTTGAGCTTATAGTGTAGCACTGGTACCCAATATGTCTTATCCTTATAACGTAACTGCAATGATGACCTAATCGTGCATCTGTTTCCCAATCTGTAATTTCTCCGACATGATCTGCGGCACAGTCAAACTGGACCTGAAGATTATTCCTGATCGTTGATTTGCTGTGTGGAGCTAAAATGCTAAACCAACCAGATGGAAAGGTGAACTGCCGTTACCTGACAGTTGCATGCGGGCGACTGCAGTGCCAGTGCACTATGTATTTGCTAGGTATAGATAACTGCCGGTCTCAATATACCATGTGGTTCAGTGGGGAGGGACTCCGGAGGTTTTGATAGGGTATAGCAGGGATTTGTCGTTAACAGGCTTGCCTGCTGCCAAGCGAACAGAAGAAACTACTCAACTGGTTGATCTGATGCGTGCCTCACCATTTCCATACAGTGGAATGCAAAAAGTATTCGCAGGTGTGTAAGTCGCCCTAGCTCCTCTAGTTAGTAACTTAGCTTTGTTTAGATACCTAATACTAGGATATCCCCTGATTTAAGTGTAATATAAGGTATTGAGGACCTGACAAGCTACCCCTGTCTAGCTTCCAAGCATCAGACCTACCTACACACCTGCAAATACTTTTTGCATCCCACTGTATTATTAAACGACTCCATAATGAGAATACGAGGTGATTTCATGCCAGTGTGTGTGGCCGTGTGGCCGTTGCACCACACCGCAGGCTAGTTTGGCCCTTCCTAGCCGAATGAATGAATGATATTTACAGGAGACCCTTCCGGGATGTACAGACATTTTTAGGTTCAGTTTCCCAATAAAAGTTTGTAACTTTACTGTTTTAGCAGGCATAAGAGAAAAATTAAACTTTGCACGTGGAAACTGAACCTGACATTGACTGTATTAAAAATAATTTAAATTACTTTTTTCAAAACGACAACTACGTATATACATTTTGCAGGGGCCCCCTTGTAGACTTGCAGTGGAGTGGTCAGATTGTCCTGTAGTTACTATTGAGGTAACACACTAGGGGGAGGGGACGGGTGAGATTAAATCCCCCTTATTTAGTAAATTCAAATGTCGGAAACGCGCCATCGCCATTACCTGTTCAATTTTTCGTCTTCCCCAACCATCAGCGCAATCGCATCTTCATCAATCCAATCTGATTAACTTAATAGCAATTATTGCGCCATATAAGCTCACATCACTCGCCTCTCATCATCAGCTCTTCCGAAGAGTTCAAGAGCCCTGCTACTGAGACCGCGCCTAGAAATGTTACAACGGGGGTATGATTGACTTCAGCGCCTCGTCGCATCAACACTTACCATGCCGCGATCACCACTATCATTTGCATCGACTTCGGCCCCAGTCGTCAAGGGGCGCGCGCTATCACTTGCAACCGAGCCCTCAACTAATAGTACTATTAATGGAAGGTCACCAGTTATTGCTGCACAAAGTGTTGCTAGAAGCGCATCACCAAGGCAAGTCATTATTCCAGCTCTCATTGCCTATTTCTCATGTACCTATCCTCTCGTTTCCCAACCCACTTCCCCAATTTCGTTACAACAACCATGTCATATTGAACTGCTTCGCCATCATGTCTTCGCGTTCTCAGCCAGTCAAATGATTGAGCGGGTGGGTGAGTGGCGTGGCTTCTGGCAAGGGTCACGGCCTAAATTAGTTGGCATTTGCCCGATTTGTCGACACGAGGGCATTTGTTGTTGACCGCATCTGGCCTGACTGTATCTCATCTTCATTCCTCAAAGAGACGGTGACTCTAAATCAGCGTCGACAAATCAATCAAAAAATAACATACACACACAAACAGAGAGAAAAAAAAGAACAAAAAAACACTTAATCCCAAGCGGTGTCGAATGTTGTCCAACAGGGACTGACTGAATCACTGCTACAACTGCAACTGCAAACTTCCCCCTTCATGGCAACTGGCAGCAGCGATTTTCTTCCCTTCTCTCTTCATCTATCCTAGCTCAAATCCTCTTTCCTTCCCCATACTTTCGTCTTGTTTCTGCACTCTTTACATGCATTTTCTCCCCTCAACATACAGAACCTTTCCCATGAGTTCTTGACCTTGTTATTCCTATTGAACTTGAATTGAATAAGAGGACCTTGTTGTCATCTCTTAGTCACCCTCAGTTGTGAACCCAGCCAGTTGCAGTCAGTTGTACATCACCTCTCTGTCCTTCAACTATGGGTTCTCCCTTTTGGTCTCACATCCTTGCCCCAGTAACTTTGTCATCTTCCCTGTCGTGCTAGCCATTATACACCCCTGCAACCACGTCGGGGCTTCATCGCCCTAACAAACCTCAACTACGTGATTTATTTGGAATTTTGTTAGATTCAACGCAAATATCTCTCTGCTTTTAGGCATGATGCCTTTTGTTCGATCGAGCGGTTCTCAGGAATCTAGCTTTCTGCTCGAGTTTAGGAACAGTTGGCTTTCTCCGATGCACCTCTTATACTGCCTTACGTTCCAGAATATAATGCTAGCCAATGAGCAACAGCTAACCCTAACTTACAGATCAGTGAACGGTCGCGACATGTCGATTAAAGACGGAGAGATTGAAAGCGAACTTAGCGAACTTAGTGAACTCGCGAGCACTGTCCACTCCGCCTCCAGTGTCGACTTTAACGAACTTGAGGACGAAATCATTGTGGGAGTACGCACTAATAGTGCCCGAAAGTCATGTCCCCTTCGGCCAGCATCTGGTCCTGAGGATGAGACCATGGCCGACGCTGACGATAAGCCGGTCGCTTCTTATTATCCTAAACGGAAGCGCGCCTCCGTCTTCCATGACCTGAGCGAAAGCAAAATGGGGCCGCTAAGGTCCCTTTCAGATGAACGACAACCACCTGCGGCTGTCACAAGAGCCAAAGCTCCCCAAACGAGGACAGGAAGAGCGAAGGGTGTTATCTTAGGCTATTGGAGAGACTCACCCGGCCCTACTGAGGACCTTAAACATGCCGTCATTGGCTTCATAGATATTCGCGAACGCCTACGAATTCGAGTACAGCCCACCACAATAGCTGGAGAAACTATTTCGGATGAGTACCCCTTGCCACCAGGGCCTAGTGGATGCTGGGTTACCGTTGAGCGAATCGTGTTCTTGAAGCACCTTGTAGGTTTGAATCATCTTGAAGTCAAGGAGTACGTCAAGATCCGCGCCGACAGTCTGGGGACCGAAGAGACCGAGGCGGAACAAGTTGCTGCCAAGACAGCTGCAGTCAAGGAAGCCATGCGTCGTGCCAAGTTAAACCTTACCGCTGAGAACGCCACCAATCCACCTCAAATTGCTTATGGCGTCGAACTGCCTGACCATCTGCAGCAGAGTCGCGATCCTAAGAGGAGGAGGAGAAGTGGGGATTTTAACCGTATTAATACTGTTTCCTCGAACGGTCCTGTGATCAACACACCCATCCGAACAGCACCCGGCGGACCACAACCTGTGCGAAATGCCATTTACCCCCTTCCGGGCACCCGACCTACTCGAATTCTTCTTGGTCATTGGGCAAAGTCTGATGAACCAGACCCAAAGAATCGTCACGCAGTGTACGGGATTTTGGGACAGAATGGTATGTTCCATGCCAAGCTAGTGCGAGAAACCCGTGACGGACGGTTCGTTGACGGAAACTTCCCTACTGGAGCCGGCGCTCTCTGGATAGCATACGAGGAGGTTGCTTTTGAACCACACCTGCGGTCTCTGGCACGGAACGAGGTGAAGGAATATTGCCGCGTGCGTCAATGGCAGATTGACAGTGGAGAAACAGCGGAGGAAAAAATCGCAAATGAGACCAAAGCTGTATACGAGGCACAAGCTAGGGTTGCGGAAACAAGTTACAAAGCTCCAACTCCCTTGTCTGATGCACCCGCTCTGCATCGTCAGCCGGCTGCTTATGTTGAAGAGACCGATCGGACTGGACGGTTAGGCTTTGGTGGGCATGAACTACGTCAAAGCCACCGCGTCGAGGCAACCAGGGGCGAAGCACGTCCGGCACGTCAGGCACCTATAGAGGTTGACACCCCTCAACCTCCCCCAGTTCCTCGTCCAGCCATGAGTAGGATACCACAGAGCAACAACGCTCTTGAACTAACCTCGGCTCTGGCTGAGCGTGAGATTACCCGTGTTGAACTTGCCCAGGAGCGTGCCCACCTCCTGGCTGCCAACCATGAGCGGGCTGCAGCAGCAGCAGCCCAAGCAGCTGCCGCTGCCGCTGCCATTCCCGCTTTGGCTGCTAACGGCCAGCAGCAACTGCACGAGAGAAAGGAAATGCAACGTCTCAACAAGGTTTGGGCCCGCCAGGAAAGCCTTCCGATGAGAGCAAGGGCCGAAGATGCAAAGATGTACAGCGGAGTCAAGTATGAGCGCAAGGCCAATGGTCCATTTACTGGAAAATTGGTGTCTCAAGGTACCATTATTAACATTGATGGCGAAGACTATGTCGAATATCGTGTCCTCACGAAGCCGTCGTTCTTCTAAAATCGCCAACTTGAGCTTCCCCCATGCCACATCTCCAGCTAGCCATCACATCTCAATGTCAAGCCACAGCCTTTGTTTCATGTCTCACCTTAAGGACTCATACATGGCATGCTGTCGACTCAAGAACACAACCGAATTTTGTCAACTCATGCAAAGTTTCTTTCCCATCAACTTTAATACTTCTCTGCGCAATGCTTGTCGCACTTTTTTTTTTTTTTTTTTTTTTTTTTTTCGCTAAAGTCCCAACTTTTCTGTATATTATGGACGCAGGAAGGGAGGTCACTTTGTTCAGATGCCGGTGTTTCGGCAAAGCCGTTTCGGCTTCTACATAAACGGGGCCCAGTCCACTCGCACGGGAACGACTTTTCTCATTAATTTCTGACCTTGCTTTTCCTTCGTCACTCTGCTTTTCATGGCCCTAATTGAAGGTCAAGGTTAAAGATTGGGAGGTGGAATGGATGGGTCTAGTATAGACTTGACTCTACGGAAATGGATACCGGTAGATATTGTTCGGGATTGGGGTGTGCTGCTGCGGAATTATGTGCGGTACAGGCAGACGATAATTGATTATTTATATAACGTAGTTGATAAGCGAGTTAGCCAGACAAGCGAGTTAGCCAAAAATCCCTCACCTTACATTAACACTATCAGATCAATTAAATCTCAACCACCAAATATATCACAGCCTTCAAAAGAAGCTCGAGTTATTCTTGCTCTTCAAGCCCTTCAAAATGACCCTAAATTAAGTTTCCGACGCGCTGCTCAGATATATGAAGTTGACCGTAATACCCTAAGGAATCGGAAGAATGGTAGACAATCATGACGCGATACTATGGCAAACTCACGGAAGCTATCAAAGCTAGAAGAAGAGACTGTACTTTAATATGCTCTTGATCTAGATTCGCGAGGACTCCCTTACCGGATCTCTGTTGTTAAAGATATGGCAAATCGACTACTTGCTGCCCGCGATGCACCACCAGTTGGTAAGCGCTGGGCTATCAATTTTATTCAGCGGCAACCAGAGCTTAAATCGCGTTATCAGCGGAGGTATGACTATCAGAGAGCCTTATGTGAAGATCCGACTATTATTCGCAATTGGTTCAGGCTTATAGAGAATACAATTGCGAAATATGGTATCTGATTAGATGATATCTGGAACTTTGATGAGACCGGCTTTATGATGGGTATGATTTCAGCCGGCAAAGTAGTCACAAGTGCAGAGAGGCGTGGAAGGCCAAAATCAGTCCAGCCTGGAAGTCGAGAATGGGTTACTGTGATCGAGGCAGCCAATGCAGAAGGTCAATCGATCCCGCCGTTCATCATAGTTACAGGCAAGCATCACCTTCGTAACTGGTATGAAGGAAGCAGCCTCCCGGCCGATTGGGCTATTGCCACGACTCCAAATGGATGGACAAATAATGACACGGGTCTCGACTGGCTAAAGCACTTCGATAAGTATACAATCAACCGATCAGTTGGTTCCTATCGCCTTCTGATCCTCGATGGTCACGAAAGTCATCACTTGACCGACTTTGAAGCATATTGCAAGGAAAAGAACATTATCCCGCTTTATATGCCTCCTCATTCCTCTCATCTACTCCAACCTCTTGATATCGGGTGCTTTGGGCCGCTGAAAAGGGCCTATGGTCGAGAAATTTAGCATCTCATAAGACGCTCTATAACCCACATCACCAAGACCCAGTTCTTTCCTGCCTTTTATGCCGCCCACCAAGCTGCTATTACAGAAAGCAATATACGAGGAGGTTTTAGAGGGGCCGGGCTTGCTCCCTTTGACCCAGAAAATGTCATCTCGAAGCTTAATATACGGCTATAGACCCCAACGCCTCCCAAAGAGGATATAAGCCAGGCTCAACCTTGGACCCCAAAGCAGCGCTGCCCTCAAATCAAACAAATCAAATCCGGGGTCATATTTGAGATATTTGATAACTCTCAAGACTGGATTTGTTGTTTGAAATATTTATTCAAATATTTCAAATATTTCAAATCTGACTCTCTATGCTTCCATGCTAACATCTCCAATCTCCCATTGGACCTCGTCCCCCCCACCTATTGTCGCCCCTAGCTTCACCGCACCATGTCTGACCCAGTTCTTAAGGCATTGTAACTTCTCCAGCGTTTCCGTCGTCATCGAAAGCCTCTGCGTC